CGCGCCCCCCCCCCCCCCCCGATATTTTCACAAGAGCATCTTTTCTCTCTCCCAACACGTCACCACCCAGATCCCTCCGCGTCAGTGCCGAGGCATGGGCGTGGTATCCGCGACCACTCTCTCGGGCTGAGACCCCTTTTAGGTGCCCAGCAGCCTTATGATAGCAGAGGACCTCCCCCCTGAGGTAGTACCTGCTCGGGCGGCTGCAGAGCAGGCTCCCCAATCCACAGTTGCTCTTTGAGGAGATGCTGGTAGCTGAGGCAGTGTTTCATCGCGGATGGCACATTGCCCATGGCCACCCCCCACCCCGTCTTGGGGCGCACGCTTTCCAGTGGCCGCAAGGTCACCGTCGCTGCCTACCAGCCATTGCTCGGAAGTTGCCGCTGGAGCCAAGACTCAGAGCGAGCAGCGGCTGCATCCTCCTGCATGACGGGATGGGAGAATCCCAGCCAAAGGAGACGCTGCTGATTGGCTGAGATAGCGGCTGAGAATTGGGCAGCTTCTGCATACTTCCCGCCTTGGATGCTGTCGCAGGCTCGCTTAGTCTGCGTCAGCAGGTAACGCAAAGCAGGGATGTACTAAAAGGAAGGGAAGGATTGCCCATCGGAAACAATGGGAGACGCTGGAAGGCCCATTGGAAATAATGGGAGCCAGGAAAGCCAATTGACTTGCATGGGCTCCATTGGAAAACATTAGGGTACAAGTAGAGTTGCAATAAAAATGCGGAATGGATTTTCCATTAGGGTCTCTGGGCCCAAATACACTACTCTGAGGATGGAATGGGAGACCACGTAGTGGAATGACAGCCCCAGGGTGCAGCAGGAGTGTTCAGGCACTGGAATGACAGGCCACGGAGTGGAATGACGGCCCCAGGGTGGAGCAGGAGTGTTCAGGGACTGGGATGACAGGCCACTCCTTGGAATGACAGCCCCAGGGTGGAGCAGGAGTGTTCAGGGACTGGGATGACAGGCCACGGAGTGGAATGACAGCCCCACGGTGGAGCAGGAGTGTTCAGGGACTGGGATGACAGGCCACGGAGTGGAATGACAGCCCCAGGGTGGAGCAGGAGTGTTCTGGAACTGGGATAACTGGGTGTACCAGGAGAGTTCTGGAACTGGAATGACAGGCCACAGAGTGGAATGACAGCCCGAGGGTGCAGCAGGGGTGTTCTGGAACTGGGATGACAGGCCACGGAGTGGAATGACAGCCCCAGGGTGGAGCAGGAGTGTTCTGGAACTGGAATGACAGGCCACAGAGTGGAATGACAGCCCGAGGGTGCAGCAGGGGTGTTCTGGAACTGGGATGACAGGCCACGGAGTGGAATGACAGCCCCAGGGTGGAGCAGGAGTGTTCTGGAACTGGAATGACAGGCCACAGAGTGGAATGACAGCCCCAGGGTGGAGCAGGAGTGTTCAGGGACTGGGATGACAGGCCATGGAGTAAAATGACAGCCCCTGGGTGGAGCAGAAGAGTTTTTGAACTGGGATGACAGGCCACAGAGTGGAATGACAGCCCCAGGGTGTACCAGGAGTGTTCTGGAACTGGGATGACAGGCCACGGAGTGGAATGTCAGCCCCAAGGTGGAGCAGGAGTATTCTGGAACTAGGATGACAGGCCAGGGAGTGGAATGACAGCCCGAGGGTGGAGTAGGAGGGTTCTGGAACTGGGATGACAGGGTCAAGAGTGGAATGACAGCCCCAGGGTGTACCAGGAGGGTTCTGGAACTGGAATGACAGGCCACAGAGTGGAATGACAGCCCCAGGGTGTACCAGGAGTGTTCTTGGACTGGGATGACAGGCCACGGACTGGAATGACAGCCCCAGGGTGGAGCAGGAGTGTTCTGGAATTGGGATGACAGGTCACGGACTGGAATGACAGCCACAGGGTGCACCAGGAGTGTTCTAGAACTGGGATGATAGAGGCAACAGTGGAATGATGGCCCCAGGGTGTACTGGAAGTCTACTGGAACTGGGATGACAGGCCACTGAGTGGAATGACAGTCCCAGGGTGGAGCAGGAGTGTTCAGGAACTGGAATGACAGGCCACGGAGTCGAATGACAGTCCCAGGGTGGAGCAGGAGTGTTCAGGGACTGGAATGATAGGCCACGGAGTGGAATGACAGCCCCAGGGTGTACCAGGAGGGTTCTGGAACTGGAATGACAGGCCACGGAGTGGAATGACGGCCCCAGGGTGGAGCAGCAGTGTTCAGGGACTGGGATGACAGGCCACGGAGTGGAATGACAGCCCCACGGTGGAGCAGGAGTGTTCAGGGACTGGGATGACAGGCCACGGAGTGGAATGACAGCCCCAGGGTGGAGCAGGAGTGTTCAGGGATTGGGATGAAAGGCCCCAGAAGCTGTCATTCCACTCCGTGGCCTGTCATCTCAGTTCCAGAACTCTCCTGGTACACCCTGGGGCTGTCATTCCAGTCCGTGGCCTGTCATCCCAGTCCCTGAACACTGCTGCTCCACCCTGGGGCCGTCATTCCACTCCGTGGCCTGTCATTCCAGTTCCAGAACCCTCCTGGTACACCCTGGGGCTGTCATTCCACTTCGTGGCCTGTCATTCCTGTCCCTGAACACTCCTGCTCCACCCTGGGACTGTCATTCGACTCCGTGGCCTGTCATTCCAGTTCCTGAACACTCCTGCTCCACCCTGGGGCTGTCATGGCACTCAGTGGTCTCTCATTACATCCCCAGAGTAGTGTATTTGGGCCCAGGGACCCTAATGGAAAATCCATTCCGCATTTTTATTGCAACTCTACTTGTACCCTAATGTTTTCCAATGGAGTCCATGCAAGTCAATTTGCATTCCTGGCTCCCATTATTTCCAATGGGCCTTCCAGCGTCTCCCATTGTTTCCAATGGGCAATCCTGTCCTTCCTTTTAGTACATCCCCACAATGCAGCCAGGGCAGGAGCAAGGCATGTAGTGCTGCCTACCCCATGCCCGGCCTTGCATATCTAACCCTATACAGGATTACAGTTTAGCATCCCAAACCCATAAATGTCTGCTAGGAAGTAAGTCTGAGTTCATTGGGATTTACTTCCTAAGTGAAAGTAGAGGGGTCTGGGTAAAAGTCGGATCTAAATTGATCCTCATGAATTCATATGATTTTTACATTGAAACGAAATAAAACCACCATCATATTGTTGGTCATGTATTAGTCTACAAAGGGGCACCACAAAAATCGCACATCCACAGATTCGTGGCACCACAACAGTCCAAAAACATGATTCCAAAGCACAGATCCACGTGAATTTATATGATTTTTACACTGAATTGAAATAAAACCAACATCATACTGTAGACCATGTCTTAGACTGTAGGCAGCACTCCAAAAATCATGCCCCCAGGAATGCATGGCACCACAAAACTGCAAAAACATGGCTCCAAAGCACGGAGCCTCGTGGATCCTCAGGATTTTTCAATTGAGTTACCTGAAACACAGCATCAAATCACATAAACATGCCCACGGCCACAGCTTGCACCAAAAAAATCACGGATCCACGACTTCGTGGTGAATCCATTCTGCAAAAACTTGATTCTGAAGCACGGATCCTCATGGATGTTTGGGTTTTTTTGTGCTGAGACACCCCAAACATACCATTAAATCCCATATCATGTCTATGGCCACAGCCTGCACCACAGAAATCATGGTGCCACGGCTCTGTGGCAACACCATGCTGCAAAAACATGGTCACCCCAACATCCCAACATCACCATCAAATTACATACTTTGTCTATGGCCACAGAATGCACCACAGAAATCACATGTCCACGGCTTCATGGCAACCCCATGTTGCAAAAATATGGTTCCAAAGCACGGATCCTCATGGATCCTCAAGGTTTTTGCATTGGGTCACCATGAACTCACCATCAAATCATGTATCATGTCCATGGGCACAGCTCGCACCACAAGAGTCATGGACTTCATGGCAACAGCATGCTGCAAAAACATGGTTCTGAAGCGCGGATCTTCATGGATCCTTATGATTTTTGCATTGGGTCACCAAAACATCACAATCAAATTACATATCTTGTCCATGGCCACAGAATTTACCACAGAAATTGCATCTTCACGGCTTAGTGGCGACACCATGTTGCAAAAACATGATTCTGGAGCATGGATCCTAATGGGCATGTCCAACTTTAAACAGGTAGTGATCTATTTTTTCCGGCCAAAAGTGCCAGTGATCTACCACCATGAAAATAAAGTTTCAAATTAGTTTCAAATTAGATTTTAACCCACTAAAGTTGGGTTCCACCCCCACCCCACCCCACCCCCATTTATAATGCACCTTCTGTCATTTACTGGTAAGTAAAATAAGCGAAAACAAAACAGAGAGATGAAGATCCAGAAAGAACTGCAAACATTTTTTTATTGAGTTATAACTTTCTTTCACTGTCTCAATAACTTTCTTTAACTTTTATTCAGTTATTTGTGTTAAATGCAGATCAAGTATTTATCCGGGCTGATCTTGCACAATCTTGAAAACTTCACTCTTGCTCATTAGTGAGACATCTGAGCCTGCATTTCATCCACCAGCTTTTTGAAGTTGGGTGAATATTGCGTGAGGGCCAGTCTCAGGGAATCCTGGAGATGAATTCATCATACTGGCACCAATAATCAAATACCACCAAGCAATCCTCAAAAAAAACCCCAAACACCTGTCCAGCAAACCAGGAGAACAAGTGGGGCTGGTGATCTACCTCTGACCCTTCCGTGATCTACTGGTAGATCGCGATCTACCTGTTGGACATACCTGCTCATGGACACCCCAAACATACCATTAAATCCCATACCATGTTCATGGCCACTACTTACGCCACAGTATTCCTGGGTCCCCAGTTTCGTGGCAACACCATGCTGCAAAAACATGGTTCCGAAGCATGGATCCTCATGGATCCTCAGAGTTTCTGTGCTGGGTCACTCCAAAAACACAATGAAATCACATATCATGTCCATGGCAACGGCTTGAACCTTAAAAATCATGAATCCACAGATTTCTGGCAATACCATTCTGCAAAAACATAGTTCTGAAGCATAGTTAATGGATGCTTGAGGTTTTTGTGTTTGGTCACCCCAAACACAACATCAAATCACATAACATGTCCATGGTCACAGCTTGAACCAGAAAAGTCATTGTGTCACCCCAACATCACCATCAAATAACATATCATGTCCATGGCCACTACTTGCACCAGAGAATTCATGGATCCACGGCTTCGTGGCAACACCATGCTGCAAAAACATGGTTCAGAAGCACGGATCCTCATGGATCCTCAGTGTTTCTGTGTTCAGTCACCATGTACTCACTATCAAATCACATATCATGTCCTC